ATTTTACATTTTCGAAAAAATAAACTTATCATTATAAAATACCAACAGTGCCATTATAACAATATGTTGGGGGAGGGGAGGGGGGAGTAGGGATGGTTGAAACCTGGTTTCTACAAAAGTACATGAACTGTTGATGACGTAGCACGTTTCGGAGTTCATACATCAGCTGTAATAACCATGTAAGAGCCAGAGGGTTATGAGGAACATTGACCACAAACATCGAAATATGACATTGAGCTTTGTATATACGGGATGTCCGAACATTTTGGGACCATAATCACTTAAACGAATTTTACAGAACAAATTTGACGACGGCATTTCCATTCTCTGTAAACACTGCGAAACATATTCGTGCCATCCACACTGTCAGTCTCCTTCCCCACGACACTGTGAGTGACGTTATTCTCTCTCTCTCTCTGGATGGCGTGCCTTCAATTTAGCAGCAACCTTCCGCTGGGACTATCTTTCTCTGCCACACAGCAGGATTAACCCGACCTTCACATGCTTTGACAGCGCCATCTGAAATTAAGAAACGCTGCAAATCACGCATGGTTCCATACTTTTCGGACATCCTGTATTAATATTAGTAATTCCTCATAAACATTGCCTATTAACCAGATGTTTTACATTTCTCAAAAACAAAAGAAGAAAAAGACTTGGTTGGGGCGGATACCCCTACCCTTCACTCCTAGTTGGCGCCACTGAATAATAACCTCAAACCTGGAGATTTTGAGCATTAAAATATTAAACTTTTTATATATATATAAATTTCGGAAATGCTAACACCATTTTCCTGAGAAGTAAAAAACATAATCACTAACACGTGCAATGATAACAAAAATCAGTTATGAAAAGATGATAATCTGGTCAATATTTAGGACATACGCTGTTGAAATGTGGTTTATATATTGTTGCCCGGGTTGCCTCCGTGGTAGAGTTCTGAATTTCGGAGTTGGCGAAACTGGTTTGAATCCGAGCGTTACCATATATTCCTGCACTGTAAGAGTGACAGTCAATCCTTTGGTGTGGATAGTGGGTAGGAAGGAGGAATGCTGCTGATTGGCTGTCTTCTATATGTTCAGTTTATAGCTGAAAACCGTAGTAGATTTGCTATAAATATAAACACAATTTTTCTCCAAGTTACTATCTATATTTTTCAACATGATTTATACGCTGTTTGTGCAATTCCTTTAGAAGCTCGAACTACAGTTTTTTTCTTCTTTTTCTGGGAGTTTGTTTGTAGCCATTACAGAAGTATCCAAATAGTCTTAAGGATCTAAGCCATCGAATGTTTTCGGTTAGACACTTATTAAATACGTGATGTCAGAAAAACACGTAGGTTAAAGAAGTCTTTCCCAGTTTGTTCCTGAAGAAGAAAGGTCCACATTTCGAAAACGCTCGGGTTATTGTTTTTGTTATTATTTTATACCTATTAAATATGTATGCTTACAAAATATACCCCCCCCCCGAAAAAAAAAAAGTTACAGAATGATAGCCTATCCTAGGTAAACCACATCCGATGTAACTGAGGGACACAATACTTTGAACAAACTGTTAATAAGTGTTAATAAGAGAGATGTTAAAGGTGTAGAACTTTTGTTAATTTAACTAATGATATTGTGATTTCCAATAGCCAGCCACACTGTACATTTTCTTAAACTCACTAAAGAATGATATTAATATCATCTCAAATCACAAGCAAAGTGTTAATTTGAATATTTTTAATGATTATCACAGTTAATAGAGATTAAAACTTTATGTTCTCGAGAGTAAGCATAGTTGTTTTGTAGGTCTGAAACTTATCCTTGTAGTAATTAGAAATATAACTGTAGTGACGTAACATAGTATTTTCGAAACAATCTGGTCCTTACGTTTGAATTTTTCCTGAATAAAAGAAGTTTTTAGATTGAGTTTAAAATGTGAAAAAATAAAGGCTAGGAACAAACAGTGACTAATTAGTGTACTTACTGTTATTTTTTTTTCATAGAATTAGCATATTTTAAAGAAATTATACCAACTTCCTAGGTCATCAGCTTACGAATATCAAATATTAAGTCTAAGCTTATTTCTAAAAGAAAAGTACAGATTTCAACCATCGATAAGTTGGTTGTTTTGAATTTCGCGCAAAGCTACACGAGGGCTATCTATGCTAGCCGTGCCTAATTTAGCAGTGTAAGACTAGAGGGAAAGCAGCTAGTCATCATCCAACTCTTGGGCTATTCTTTTACCAACGAATAGTGGGATTGACCATAATATTATACGCCCCCACGTAACGGGTGTTTGGTGTAACGGGGATTCGAACCCGCGACCCGCAGATTGCGAGTTGAGCGTTCTAACCACCTGGCCATGTCATGCCTCATCGGTATGTAACTAACGTTTAATGATTCGTCTTTATCTTATTACAAGCTGAGGTATCTGTCCTTTATTCGGGCTGTGAACTTTAAAAATGCTTTGATAAATAACGCCAAAATCTTAACTTTCACACAATTTATTTATGATATATTATTACATTATTCGTTATTACCTCACCAAAAGTTCTGTATAAACTTTAAGAACTCACTATGTATATACTTAAAACATGATATACACTGGGCGATTGTTGGGGTGACTTTGTAGGAAGAGGTAGAGGCGGTAGGGGGTGCTTCCTGTTACCCGCTTTCAACACCCATTTCTTAATATCCTTCTACACTGTTTCACGTTATTAATTATTTGATGGTCTTTGGCCGCAGAAGTGTCTTACGGGCCGAAGTTGTAAGTTCACGGGTCAAAGTAGGAAGTGGGTATAACTCAAGAAACGGCTCTTTATATCAGCGTTATGGTGGCTGTTGTCGTATCAACTTTTTCTGAGTTTATGTATTAATCCAATAGTGGCGGCCATTTGTTTCGTTGCATTTTTCTATAGGGAGTGCTAGCGCACTCTTTGAGCTACATAAGGCGTTTATGTGCCCTCTCCAAACACTGCGAACCCCTGAATTTAACGTTGTAATTCCCCAGACTTACTGCTGTCACACCAGGGGACGAACTATTTAATCGCTTTTTGTGTGTGTGTAAGAACGTGGCGCTATATATATATATA